CCATTGATTTTGGCCTGGAGCTATCTAGGAGACTGGAGATTCGAGAATGGAGATGGAATCAGATAGCTTGGGAACGATCTCCCAGCTTCGATGTGAGGAAGAAAGACAAATGGAGAACGGGCTGCTCTGTGAGGAGATTCGGGCCAAAGCCCAAGAGTTTGACAAACCGGCCCACTTTATGGCCCACGTGAGCTGCAATTGGGATGCAGAAGAAATGTGGTTGGATGGACCACCTTTTTTTCTTGAACCTCTTCTCAAAGAGGATTATGGTGAAACTCATGTTTTATGATTACTTAACGGAATGCAGTTTTCTATAAAAAAAACATGGTAAGTCAATATATAATTCATTTGTTTGGTGTCTTTCAATACATTTTGAATCCCTGGCAGGCGGCAGCTAGCCAATTAGGAAATAACTGCTGACTTTATGGAACTTGAATCCTATGCAGATCTGTTAGCTTTATATACTGGAAATTGTTGTTAAAGCTATATACAATGGACTAATTTGTCGGTGAAGTATTTTCTTCCTAAAATCCTTTTAAGCTTGTGTGCATCAAATTTTCAAACCAAATAGTTGCGATGATTAAATGCTCAAAATTTCTATATTTTTGTGAATTCTAACTCGTCTTCAAATTTTCTCATTCGGTGTCAATCCACACTGCAATTTTCAAATCCCTATCACTAGATACTGATGAACTATGACAACCTAGCAGAAGAATCTAATTTTGTGATGGCCAGCATTCATGCATTGGCTCCCCTGCTTTATATCACTAATCAACTTCTTAATGATATCATGGTATATATTGAAATTGACAACATGTGATTCCATTCAGGAAAATATAAAACATTTTGCGGTGGATTCTGGAACTACTTTAGTTTGGGTAGGAATTCCTGTCTGAACATAATGATCCTTTTTGCGCTTTTGTTTTTTCAGTCCAACTCATGGTGATGATTTTTTTTCCTTATGTCCGATCTAGTTGTGCATGAATGAGATGATGTAAAAATGTCTGATGTAATTTTCCATAGGACTGCATACTGCTGAACAATTTCATGACATTTGACATCATCTATATTCTACTGCAGAATAGCTAGCCTGGCAAAGGTGAAGGTTATTAAAAGACCAGGGCATTGGGAAGATCTAACAATATCCAATGGGCAAGATTTATGTATCTCTTATAACAAACTTCCTGGCGATTTAGATGGAATGTTGATCAGCGAAAGCCAACAGGCAATCATTATTTAACGCGTAATAACTTACATTATCCATATTACATTCATGTATATATAATAGAGATGCTAAAGTTCTATTTACTACATGAACCTAATAAACCTACAATTTACAATACAATAACATGTTAGGTCCTCGTTTCTTCTATCTCAAACAACTCCCCCAACACCCCCCCCCCCCCCCCCCCCGCGCAAGTTGATTAGCCGAAGAAACATGCATGACCTTAATTGTACCTAGTAAAATCTGATCCCTAATAACATGAAAATCTATTTCTATATGTTTGGTGTGTTCATGGTTTACTGGATGGTCATCTAACCTAATTGCAGAAAGACTATCACAAAAAATAGGAGTGGGAGCCGTAAGAGAAATATGCAGATCATGCAAGATATATCAAAGCTACATCAGTTCACATGTAAGACTGACCATGGATCGATATTCTGCTTTAGCAGAGGATCGAGAAACAGACTTTTGTTTCTTGGATCTCCAGCTAACCAAAGAATTTCCTAACAGAACACAAAATCCAGTGGTAGACCGGCGTGTGTCTGGACTACCAGCCCAGTCACTATCACAAAAAGAATGTAACTTAATCTCAGAAGAAGAGGAAAAGAGCAGAACTTGACCTGCAGTACCCTTTATATATCGAAGGACCCTCTCTGCAGCCTACATGTGTTCATTAGTCGGTTTATGTGTGAATTGAATTAGCTGATGAACATCATAAGTCAAATCAGGTCTAGTGTTACAAAGGTATAGCAACCTACCAACTAGACGCTTGTAGACAGATGGATTAGATAAAAGGGTACCAGAATTGGCTGATAATTTGGTACCTGGAGCAGAAGGAGAATCAGAAGGTTCTGCTCCTAAGAAACCAAAATCAAAGAGAGGTCTAATGCAAACTTCCTTTGGTTTTACAGAACTCCTTTAGAAGATCCTGCAATTTCTAGACCAAGAAAAAATTTAAGTTCTCCTAGATCCTTAATGGTAAAATCTTGATGAAGTGATGCTTTAAGATCTTTGATAGCAATCAAGTCATTACCAGCAAGAATTATGTCATCGACATAAACAAAAGCAATTGTAAAAGAAGTTTTTGTTTTCCTAACAAACATTGAATAGTCTACTTTGGACTGTATACAACCCGCGAAAGTGAGAAAATTTGATAGTTTAATGTTCCACTGACGATTGGCCTGCTTTAAACCATAAAGAAATTTGTTTAAACGACACACAGTATTCTTGAAACCAGGTGGAACAACCAGACCAGGAGGGATTTTCATGTACGCCTCCTCATCAAGGTCATCATGTAAGAAAGCAGTGTTTACATCAAGCTGATGTAAATACCAATTATTAATTGCAGCAAAAGAAAGAACAAGTCTAACTGTAGTGTGTTTGATAACAGAACCAAATGTCTCAAGATAGTCTAATCCTTGTGTCTGAGTATAGCCTTTAGCTACAAGACGTGATTTGAATCGTTCAATAGATCCATCAGCTAGAAACTTAATTTTAAAAACCCACATGTTTCCTATGGGTACCTTATCAGGAGGAAGTTCTACCATAGTCCAAGTTTTGGTTCTATCGAGAGAAGCTAATTCTGAGTTGCAAGCTTCTACCCATCTAAGATCAGTGATAGCTTCTTTGTAAGTCCTAGGTCAACAATGATAGAAGTGGAACATATATAGTTCTTATACCGATCACTCAGATTGTCAAATGTCATGAAATAAGATAAGGGAAAAGCAACACTAGAAGAACCTGCTGCACATATATAATCATTGAATTTCTTAGCTTCAACCTTAAGACGAGGAGGACGAGCATAGACAGGTAGTTCTGTGGCTTGAATGATATCCACTAGATCAAGAGACTGATCTGGAGGAAGGGAAGGGGAGGAGATGGCAGATCAGACTCAATGGGTAGAGAGCTTGGAGGATCCAGACATATAGTGTCAGGAACTCGGATATTGGGAAAGCAAAAATCAAATTCTAGTTTGTTAACAGAATCATGCAAGGGGGAAGACATGTTCATGAAATATTGTCCCACTAGAGAAGAAAATGTAATGAGAAGCTAGATTATACAATATGTGGCCTTTGATAGAACAATGAAAGCCTAAGAAAACACAAGGAACTGCCCTTGGCGCAAATTTAGGCCGATTGTGTTGTAATGTAGACGCATACACAAGACACCCACATAAATGATTGTGGTGAACACCATATTTGTTTTTTTTTCTTTCTTTTTCACAAAAAAAATACTAAAATTCTCCTCCTTCTTTCTCCTTCCATAAATTAGAAACACTCAGTTTTCCCTTCTCATTCTCTTTCATAAAATTGAAAAACCCAAATTTGAAATTTCCCTCCTCTTTCTCTTCCATTTGAAGAACCCAATTTCCCTCTTCTTTCTTTCCTTTCACAAAAAGTTGAAAACTAAAAATTTCCCTTCTTATTTCTTTTTCATAATCAAAGAACCAAAATTTCCCACTTCTTCACTTCCCACAAATCAAAACCACCAAAATTCCCCCTTTTCTTTTCTAAAAAATTCAAAATTTCCCTATTCTTACTCTTCCCAAAAAGTTGAATACACCAAATTTTTCTATTCTTTTAAAAGCATCAAATTATCAAATACATTGCTTTACTTTATTTATATTAAATTGATAACTTTATTGAATAGTTCAATTAACCAAAATTTTAATTTTTATATTATATTAATATTGTTCATAATCTCAATTATTCATTATTCATTATTAATATTCACATTGTGTTGATTTTATATTCCATGTTTACTTTTTTAATTTTGTTTAAAAAACTTAGTGTGCAAGTGATTTTTTTAATTTTCTTAAAATACATAATATCAAGTGAGTTTCATATTTTTAATTTTTCTATACGAAATGAAGAAAAAATTTTACATAAGTTTAGAATGAAAAACTTTATATTGAAAAACTATGTATTATATAATATAATAATTATTCAAGTGGATTAGGTGAAGTTCGGGTTGAGTCGGTTGGGTTGTGGGTTAGTCGGGTTCGGGTTAATCGGGTTCGGATAATCGGGTTGCGGGTCAGTCGGGTTGTGGGTTAGTTGGGTTGCGGGTCAATCACGTTGCTGGTAGGGCGGGTTATGGTTTGTTGGCTTTTAGTCAATTCTGGTTGTGGTCGGGTTGCGGGTCGAGTTGATCGGGAGAGTTAGTCGGGTCGGGTTCTGTTTTGACACCTATAGTTTTAAGGGTCAAACTTACACCCCTACATAAAGGAATATGAATTTATGGGGTCATTTTTTCACATGGAAAATATGAATTTAGAAGTTGCAGTCTATGTTCTTAGATTTAGAGATGGCAATCAAACCCATGGCCTAGGGTACCCGACCGCCCCTGACCTAATCATTCCCGGGAATCCCCGTTTTGACCGGGTATGGGTAAAACCCGCAAAAAGTTTGATGGGTATGGAAAGAGTATGGTTTTAGTCTCCCGCCCCATACTCATACTCATACCCATACCCACCCCACCAAGAGAATTTCTTCACATATAAAAAAATGTGTGGATCAAATTGTAATATATTAGTGATGTTGATAAATCGAGGAAGTAAATAGCAAAAATGCAATTGAGTAACCACCCTAATCAAAACCTAATTCATTTCACTCAATTCTCATTTCGCTCTTTCACTTTCCCAGTTGTCAACAAGATTATGTTAATTGACAAAATTATGTTAGTTAATTATTACTTAGTAGATGTATAAGAGTTAGAGCATAATAATTTGAAACATATTATACTCTATATTATGTATTAATGAATGTTTTAGGATAATATTCTTTGAACTATATTAAGAAAATGACTTTGTTTTGTTGACTTCATGACATAATAGGTTTGTTTATAGTTATAATTAAAACTTTTCTTGTAAGTTTTAGGTATAATAATGTTAGATGTACGGGTATGGGTATTACCCATGGGTACCCGAAATCCACGGGTATGAAGATGGGTTTGCAAAACATCCCCGCATGGGTATGAGGCGAGTATGGGTTTGACACCCATACTCGCCTCATACCCATGCAGGGAATGTTTTTTGAATATTTGAAAATATGGGTATGAGGCGAGTATGAGTCAGACCCATACTCGCCTCATGCCCATGCGGAGAATGTTTTTTGAATATTTGAAAATATAGGTATGAGGCGAGTATGAGTTTGAGTATTTGAAAATGGGGATGGGGATAGTATAAAGAAACCCGCCCCATTGCCATCCTCCTTGGATTCATCAATCAAGCATTGCCAATGTCAAGAAGAAAATAAACCAATGCTTAAGATATCTATCTCACATTGTTAATGTCATTAACAAAAATAACTCCAAAACAGTGAAGAAGAAAGGCATCATAACAAGAGAGTATCTTAACAGTTGAATTTTAAGTTCTTACACTCTGTGTAGAGAGTTGGAGCAGCAAAATGGAAGACCAATTATAAACAAGATCCTGAGGGGTAATCCTATATTCATTCTTTTCCCATAGGAAACAGAACTGATCTGAATATTGCAAGCCCACAATATTTGCAACGAAGACCAGTTCCAATGCTGTGAAAACTCACACTTCAACTCTATCCTCGAATTAAAGAGGAAGGAATTATAAATAACCGTTGTGGAGCCATTTACTCAGTTTGGTCTACATCTGCCCTACATAGGTAGGCTGTCCCAAGCAGTTCTTGACGGCCTCACTAGCCTTCTGCGACTCTGTTCGTTCTTCTCGCTTCTTCTTCTCCCTGGTCGTAAACGAAAAATGCAGTGTTAGTCAACCATATTCAGACTCGAATGTGCACTCACTTCAACAGGAAGAGGGAACTCAATTAGTTTTCTATGCTAATTATTCAATACCTCTCGACATATTCCTTGATTAACTCCTTTGCCTGGACAAGTTTCGAGAGCAGGTTGCGGTATACATCAAGATCCCTGTCCACGCTTCTCTTGTTCACGTTTAGCGCTGCGCAAAGCTGTTGCATGTTGTTCTGGGTTTAAGTATTGAGGCAACTCTTCTATGGTTTTAGGGTTAATTAAAGTAGAAACAAGTGGAGGACAAACTAACACAGAAAATATGGACTAAGAATATTTAAAACTCAAGCTGATGACAGATTAGGCGAGAAACGAAAGCAACAACTGATTGCTGAAACAACAATGAGCATCTCCATTAAACGTAAATTCAGCAAACAATCTCCAACCTGTTCAGGAATTAAAGATCTACTAACCTTGTCCAATACAGTGGGGTCAGTTGCATTGGAAAGCTCGAGCAGGCGGAAAAGCCCGACAGCAAAGAAACGGCTGTAGCTAAATTTACCAGCGCCAGCTCTTTCTGCGATATCTTTCAACATACTCTCCACTTCACCTTCTCTCGAAGGAAACTCGACCAGTGAAGCAGATGTCTGAGTTCTTGCCCACTCCTCGAGCTTCGTAGCATCATTTCTGTACTTCAGAATGCACAAGCGATGACTATGAACCCGTAACTTCATAAACCTTCAAACAACATCAGAAGTACGAGGAAGAAGAACCTGTATTGTTCTGGCTCCTCTTGCAAGGCCCTGATGTATGCTTGGAAAATGATTTCGCGGTCCTCGTCGCTCGGGTATCCTTCCATGAGCTTATCATAAACAGTGACAAAGCCTAGGGCAAACACGGGGTCATAACAGTATGTCTTCTTGTACTTAATCAAATGTTGCTGCACAATCAGCTCCTGGAGAACATTGTTGTAGATGCTAGGGATTGGTTTCTTGTAAGCTTTGAGAAAATTCAACTTGGTTTGGGCCACAGTCGGCAAATCTGAAATATCAATTAGGCCATAGAATCAACTAATCGGCAGTTCTTAAGCGTCACAGATCATTGGATTTTCTAGCAAGCGGAACACTAAACATTCTACTTCCTCAAATTCAATCAAACCCTGAGACAAGGATACTGTAATGCTGCAATTTAAACCTAATCACCTTATCGAGAAGAACTTAATTAATTCAATTCGTATCAAGTTCAGTGCACCGAGCCAAATAAACACACCGATCCCGATTTCTACAATCCCCCATTCTAATTCAACTTTTCCCGTATACCAATCAAAGCACTGCTGGTAGAAAATTTGGGAATTACCTGTAGAACTGGACATGCAACGGATGACGAAGCCAGAGGTCGAGGAGGTAGAGCCACGAACGTGAGCAGAAGGGAAAGTTCGGAAACGGAACGCTTCGCATGTGGAGAAAGCTAGAGAGCGAGCGGAGGAAGAAGATGAGGAGGAAGACCTTCCGTCAGCGGAAGAGTGACCCATCGCCGGGGAGAAGGAGACTGAAGTGACTGCCGCCATGTTTTCACTGTTGATTCTGCGTATCTCAGCTTTGCAACGTGAGCAGCGAAAAACGATTAAAGACGGCAGGAATTTCAGAGGGAGATTTGGAGCAAGCTAATGGAATCTCTGTACTCAGCTCATGGTGGATTGCATTTTCCCTTTTCTCCGTTCTTCGTTTGGTTTTTGGTTTTTCAAGCGAAGAGGAGAATACTGGGTGGGACTTGGGAGCCGGTGAGGAGGGAAAGTGAGGTTGGGAAGGAAGAAGGGATTATCCAGCAAAACTGAAAGGAAATGTGCTTTTTTCTTTTTCAATTTGATGTTTTCTGGGAACTATCCGTTAAGATTGTGACACGTAAACTCAAAAGTGTGACTGTGATCTTTGTTGTGTGGCTGTGGTTTTCTATGAAGCTGGACCGAGGAACAGCCACGTCACAAGACAATGGGTCCCTTGCATCACAGTCACTGCCAGGTAAGCGTTTGGATTGGAGAGACATCTTGTTTAGGCTAACAACAACTAGGGATGACAACATAACCCTATCCAATAAGAGATACTCTACTCGACCCAATTCGATTAAAGCACATGAATCTTGCGTTGACGAATTACGAGTCGGGTTTGGGTTTACCGTTCTACTACTTTGTGGGTTGGGTTTGGATTTAGTCATATCCAACCTGTTTTAACCTGACCCAACCCACCTAACTCTAACAAGCCAACCCGACCCATTTTCCCCCACCCATTCGGTCGTTCCCCTGCCCTGATCCCCTCTCCTTTACCATCCCAATTTCCCAAATGCATACCCTAATTCTAACTAAATAAAAGAAAATAACATAGAAACTGACAATCCCTTCGTCTCCCTAGATTCCCACCGGCCACCCCTATCTCGGTCGCCGCCTCCCTCACTCTTCTCTGCCTCTTTGCCTTCCGCTGCCAACCAGAATTTATGGGCGACAGAGAGGAGTTTGCCGCCGCCACCTTCCCTCTGCTCTCTATCGTCGATTCTCCCTGCCGCGTGCTCCAGTCGACCACCGCCAGTCCATCAACTCCACTCGACCATCATTTGGGCAACTGCACGCTATTACACAACACCAAACTACGACCAAGTATGATCGCAGTTCGGAAATGCAGAATAGTGGCAAGTTCAATCTATCAACCCGGGGTCTAGATCTACTGCCTACTCTGTGACAACCTGTTATCTAGCGGAATAAGTGTAATGAGAGTGATTGCAAACAAAACCAGTAAGAAAAGCAGGAAATTGTCGAAGTTCTTAAGCAAGGGAAGAGTCACTCGGGAATGAATCCCCCTAGATCCTTAGTTAAGTCAAAGTTGTAATTCCCTTCAGTTGATTTAATGTTGATTAAACTGCGGAAGATCCTAAATTAACTTGGAATCTCTTAAGCTGACCAAGCCCTCTTAGACAGAATACCCGGCAGGCGACTAGCCTTCACGCGGATAGACTACTAAGGCGATTCACACAGATCTCTCGTATAATCAATTCACTACTACCGATTGAAGAAGCTCTAACAACCTAATCAGATTCTATCTATCTCCGGTTGCAGCAAAAATCAAGAAAAGTTTATTAGGATTCAATTGACTCAATAAATCATGCCTCAATCGATTATAATCAAGCAGTATAGCATCCAAAAGTCATTACAAACATGATTCCTAACACATGGAACTAGAGTTCTTCATACCCAAGTGAGAGATAGTTATAATCCATAGAAAGAGAGAGAGAGAGGGGAAAACAGAATACAAAGCAGTCATACTCATAATGATGGGAAGAATCTGCTTTGGGATGATAATCTTCACTCCATGGATGAAATACAAGCTTGATTGATGAAACCCAACTCCAAAATCAACTCTAGTGTTTGTTCTTCGCACTTTCTCTCTCTAGGACACTATTTTTGCTCTGAAAAGTCGATTCTCCCTCTCCAAAACCTGAAATTGGGTTTTTATGCAACTGTCCGCGATTGCACGGTCAGAGTACACAGCCGTGCAATCCCATAGTCTGTCCGTGCACCCCAAAACGCGTCGTTTCATTTAATTCTACCGGGGGGGGGGGGGGGGTGCACGGCCCGTGCAATCCGAGAGCCTGGCCGTGCAATGCTCTCGCAAAAATCAGCACGGCCACAATTCCATCGTGCACGGCCGTGCAAAAAATAGGGTCAGGCCTTGCAGCTTCTCGGTAAATCTTGCACGGCCACAAAGGCAACCATGCACGGCCATGCACTTTCCTGTCCTGGTCGTGCAACTTGTCTGATCTCCCTTCGCTCGTCCCGATTTTGCCCAATTGACCACAAACTCGTGCTCAAACCTTCATTCATGCATTAAGACCCGAAATGTCATAAACAAGAACAACCTAGCGTAAAATCGGTTTAAAACCCGAGATTCGAGCCTCGAACAGTATAAGAATGGTGGACAAAAACATGTGCAAATATCGAGTCATCAACAACCATTGACCAGTTTGTCTACTCCAGTCGACCATTGCCCTTGTCAAATCTCCCTCGCCGTCTGCCTGCTCCAGTCGCTGTCACGCTTGCCTTGTCGAATCTCCCTCGTCGTCCACTCCCAACGTTGCCCTCGACGACGATGATGCCTTTTCCCGTTTACCACAGAACCCATGGGTATCAATTAATCTGCGGATACCTAGTGGGTTAAATTGGGTTTGAGTTTTTCAAGCCCAATGGATGTTATCCTGGGGTTTTTTGGTGGATATACCCATGGATTTGGGTTTGACAAAACCCAACACGACCTATCGCCATCCCTAACAGCAACCCAAAACCAAAAGTTAAAAGTGCATTTTGACACCCAAAAAATATCTTCAACCAATGGCTAACAAGGGAAGCAAAAAGACTAAATTGGATTTTAGGTAGGCATTTTAGCTCTGATTTAGGTAGGCGCTAAACTATTTTCAATAAGTTAGTGTCTGGAATGTTAGATGAATTTGACATTTTGACTTCTCAAAAGGTGGTTCTCCTATAATAAAGAGTATTATAATGTCAAAAGTACAAAATATTCTTCTTTTGTGATAATGAGTTTAGCGTAGATTTCTTCATTTTAATTAAGATAATTTGTAAATTATTTTCATATAGGTAGTATTTTCATATAGGTAGTATTAATAAAATATTTCAATATATTTTTTTAATTTGAAAAAATAAATTGACATTAATTATGACATCCATCTTAGGTAACCAATTCGTGAAGCGAGAGCGTCTACTTTTCAAGAACTCAATATTGAGAGCGAAAACAGAGAGTCAATATTATATTATTTTTAATATACATAAGAAAAATTAGGAGAGTTCTACGGTACCCCAGGTGAAAAACGGGGTACCACATACGTTGAGTATGAAATCGCTATCCGGATCTTGAATTGACAGATCTTTCGGACATGATACTATACCCTAACTCTTAAAAATCAAAATCTATGTCTTAATTCTCTAAATCTTATACTCTAAGATCAATTTAATTAGAAACAATAATCAACGGTTACGATTCATCCAAATATAGGCAAAAAAATGAATGCACCATCTTAGGGTTTATAGTTTATGATTTAGATAATTAGGACATAGGGTTCACTCATTAAGGGTTAGGGTATAGTATCAGGCCAAAAAATCTTGATAATTCGAGATCTAGATAGCTTTTTCATACTCAAGGTATGCAGTACCCTTGATTTCACCCGGGGTACCGTAGAAGCCATCGAAAAATAAACATTAATATTAGTAGTGCAAAAATAAAATAAAAAATTGTCAAATGGGGAAGCTTTTATCTAAAGAAGTTGATTGTGTGGAAGAGGAGATTACTAAGAAAATGAAAACTTGGTGAGCTAGGAAGTTGGCTTATGCAGGTGAGTTTCAATTAGTTTCTTCGATTTTTATGGGAATTATTAACTATTGGATGCAAATGTTTCCACTTCCTAAGAAGGTAATCAATCGGTTATACAAGGCCTGTTCCAACTTTCTTTAGCATGGTGAGGGTGAAGGTAAAGCTAAAATTGCATGGGAGCATGTTGCAAAACCAAAGAAGAAAGGTGGGTTGGGAGCAAAAGACTTGATATCCTGCAATGCTGCTTGCGTGGAAGAATGTTATGGCTTTTCCTAATGGAGTCGGGTATTATTTGGGTTGCATGGATGAAAATGTACTGATGTGGGGATGGCTCTCTGTCATCTCTAAAGGTGAACACATATAGTTCTTGGGCTTGTCGAAGACTTTTGAAGTTGCGCGATTCAGTGGGAATTCGATTGAGTAAGCGAGGATCTGAGGTACTCTGGGATTTGAAGTCAATGCCCAAGTACTCTATGAGGCTAGTCTGGAACTCCATCAGAACTGTTGATGAGTTGATTGACTCGCTAAAACACAACTCCTAACAATGGCCAAGTGTAACCAATGAAAGGGACTGCAATATAGTGGCACAAGTAATAAATATCGAATCCACGAGTCTCTATAGTTACTATTACTCAACATCAGTTCATTATCTAGCAAACCAGATTAAATATTGATTTACTAAACTACTATACTAACTAAACTAAGGTTAAACTACTAATTACAGGTTGGGAACTCACTTAGGTATGATTCACCCTAGCTCCTCAATTAGGTCCAAGTTGTAATTCCCTTTGGTTGTTTCACTGTTGATTAAACTGCAGAAGATCCGATAATAGCTTGGAATCTCTTAAGCTGACCAAGCCTTCTTAGATAGAATACTCGGCGAGCGACTAACCTCCATCAGAATACAAAGCTAAGACAACACACAAAGATATCCACTAATGGAATGAATTCCAGTACAAAGCAATGAATTGACTGACTCTCGTACAATCAATTCCCTACTACCAATTGAGAAAGCTCTCTTAACCCAATCAGATTCTATCTATCATAGTTTAAAGCAGAAATCAAAGGAAAGTGATCAGGATTCAGACTAAATATTAATGACTCAATTGATTAAAACCATTAAGTATAACATCCAAAGTTTCAAACAAGAAAAATCCTAATACATGGAACTAGGGTTCCTCAAAACCTAAGTGAAAGGAAGTTACTCCATAGAGAAGAGAGAGAATGTAGAAATCTGATCTAGATCTTCAACCTCCATCTCCAAGCTTGATTCCCGAGCTCCAAGAAATCCTCCAAAATAGCTCCAAGAATGTTCCCAAGTCGCTCTCTCTAGGGTTCGTCCCTTGGGTGGTTGGGATCCAAAACCCAGCTCTCCCTCTATAAAATCACAAAAATCAAACTTATACTCGAGCTGGGGCAGAAACCCATTCGGGAACACGACTCTGTTTAGTCTTGTCGTATTTTGCATCCCTTCAGCAGTCTTCACAAGAGAGGTTGGCATAAAAAACACTCGC